ATTCCTGCTCGTGCATCAGCAGTTGAATTGTTTATTCACTTCAAGTACAACGCGTTTGTGCGTGACCTTTGAAAGCACTGATATTATGCCGCATGTGACACAAAGGGGGTAAGGGAGGCTGCAAAACCTTTAATACAAGAAATGCAGAATGCTTTTGCCTGTTTATTAAGCAGCATGTCACACGGGCAGTACCTTTCACCTGCGCTCTGTGATCTTTTCCAATGGCCATTTGATTTCCAGGCAAGATTTAAGTTTCAGGCTTTCCCCTCTGATGCCCCTCCCTGGTGTGCCTCTAGGTCACAGCTTCACTTCCCATGCCATCCTGCAGCGGGTGGCGGGCAGCCCACTGGAGTAAAGTCAGCTCCGGAAATCATTTCTCTCCCTTGGCCAAGCCAGACCCAGGACTGGGGACCCTTGGGTCATGCCATGAGGCATCTAAACATCTGGGGCTCTCTTTTCCTATTAGGGAGGAGTTGATTAAGAGGCAGAAGCCTGAGATTTAAGGCAGGATTTAGGAGGAGGAGTGCGTATGGGGGTGTGGAGGTCCACTGTTACACTCGGAGTCGTGTTGCTTTCAGTCGCCTTCCAACGGCAGCCACAACACCTTAAAGCAATGTGACTCACTTTACCCATTTTGATACCCAGTCACTATTTCATTAGAAACAAAGGGTGACATGAGTCTAACTCCCAGCTGATGCTCATCTAATTTACAACGGGATGAGATCAGTCCCAGTTCTACACTGGGCAGCCCTAAGCCTCTCACAAATCCAGTCAAGCCTGCAGTGACAGTCACAGTGGCAAGAGATAGTTAACGATCCCGCTGGCAGAGGACAACAAAAAGTTTTAAAGCAACAGTTTTGTGCTTATGGATTTTTTCCTCCTCCCACGCGCTTCCCCTCCCGGATATCCACTAGGGGAAAGAAGATATTGTCAGATCAGAAGCCCAGTGCAGAACTTTGCCAAAAGACAGACAGTTTTGAGCATGGCTGCTGACAGGTCTGCTTTATGGGGCCTGGCTGTAGGAGCTGGCACAGCGCTCTGGTGTGGGAAAGCAGCCTGACAGGACACTTGCTTGTGTAATAAATGATTTACAATCTTGGTAACTGTTAAATTAAAGCTTCTTTAGCCCCTTCTTCTGCCGCACAAGAAAAGATCAAATATACTGTCCCTGGGCTCATTTACTGTCATTCTTACCGGGTCAAAAGCCTGGGAAAGATTTCAGTATTAAATACGACTAATATTTCACAGCCCCCTGCTTTATTGCACAAGCCGAAAGGATACCTCATTTCCCCTTTCCATTTTGCATCTTTCTCTCCTCGAGGGCTAAATCAAAGCCATCCTTTTTCTGGATGACAGAACTGGAAAGGAAGAAGGCCATTTAGAGGCAGTCAGTACCGTGCTGCTAATTCTTCAGCTCAAAAAGATCTCAGTTAAGCAACACGAGGCGCTATGCTCTCCCAGGGACTGCGCTCTGCGGGGGCAACGCTCCCGTGCCACACGGGCGGGTGGAACGGGGAACTGGAGTCTAGGATCTCTCTGCTGGCAGGGACGAGCGCTGCTGCTGGGCCAGCGCTGCTTGGCTTTTTGTTTTAATGGCCATCTGTCATCACACCTGCAGCGACTCTCAGAGGCCATCAGCTGGAACCCATCCACTCCCATCAATGGCATCAAAGATAATACAACTTTTCATCTTCAGGGCACTACGCAACCTAACTAATCCTCAAAGCTACCAGGTAAGGAGGGTAAATGATATCCTCATTTTGCTTCTGTAAATTAAGTGACTTGCCTAGGACGTCCAATGGAGAGGGTGCGGAGCTGGGATTAGGACATAATGGTTTCTGGCTCTCAGCCCAATTCTCAAACCATTAGACTATGGATATCTCTGCACAGCAAAAGGAAAGTGCGACTGTAGCACATGCAATATTAATCTAGTTATCCTCCAATCCATCAGCAGTAAAGATAAGGTAGCATGGACTTGACCAGGTACTAACACCCATGGTCCCTACTCTCCCTACAGAATTTGTACTCGGCTTGCTAGCACACCGAACTTCACGTCACCTTGTCTTCACAGCTGCTGTTAACTAAATCGAGCTGGTTTAGCCAAACATAGGTAGCACCTTTTACAGTCACAATTTCATTCTCCCATATAGACATACCCTATTGCCCTCTATTAGGCCCAGTGAGGCAACCCTGGCCTTATGTAACCCCATGTGAATTTTTGGCAAAGGTCCCTAGTACAGTCTCCTTCACTTGGTGGGTCTGCACCCCTGGCGACCATGGCCCTTTTTTCTTTACTGAGATCAGCACCTCCCAAACCACGCCAGCAAAACTGGAAGAATTCCCTGAATCAAACTAGGCCTCCAGGTGGGAGCAACAGCAATGAGCAGCAGAGCAGCACGTAGCTGAGGTGCACTGCGGGGTGGGGTGAACAAGGTTTCTGTGCCAGCTCTTGCCCTTTTATGTAAAAGGTGAATGAAGGAGATTATGACAATGTTAGAAAAAAAAGTACTGGAAAGACTCACCTTGATTGAACCACTCCTCTAATTACCAGAAAAGCAGCAAAGAAAAAACAAAAATTTACAGGGAGGAAGAAAATACAAAGGAACAATCACAAAGAAGCAGAATTTCACAGAACCGATTCAAACCTTAGAATTACAGAAATGCAATAACTTTCACTGATAAAAACACTTCCCTCTTCTCTCTTTTGTTCCCGCTGAAAGAATATTCTTTCCCTGCAGGTTCCTTTTCTCCTGTTAGTCATTTGAAAAGATGCTGAAGGGAGTGGGGGGAAAGGAGGCCGACTAGCCCTTTGCAGGGGTGTCTGAAATGCTATGATCAATGACCATGAAATAAAATAAGCAAGAAAAAACTGTAAAGATTAAAAAAAGGGGGGAGAGAGAGCAAGCGAGAGAAAGAGAGGAAGAAACTGAAATGATCTATTTTCAAGTGCTAGACCTAAAAAACTAAGGAAATTTCAGAGAAGCTACACAGTAAAAAAAGGGAATTTTCTATTTATGATTTTAAAAGCAGACTTACTAATGAATTTTAATTTTTTTTAATGCTAAACTTGCCTGTCGTTCTCAACCCTTCTGATCTGTATACCACTGGCTGGGAGCTCAGCACAGCTACCACTCAATCCTTCCCAAAAGAACAGCATGACTTTTTACAGTCAAGAGCAACAAGGAAAAAGTGTTAAAACACCCTTAGGAAAAATAATTGTTTTTTTCTGCTGGACACATAGAGCCAACAACTGAGAGGTCACCGTGTATCTGACTTTCTCACTGAAGTCAACAGGAGTTTGTCCTCAGCATCTCACAGTTTTGACACCTGTTTGCCCACAAACACAAATGTCCCCAGAAGTTTGGTCTGACAATGCAGAAACTGTAGACCCAGTGACATTGGAGCTGGGCCCAATGGGAAGTGGACAGACTTCTGACGAACAAGTGAAACAGCCATTTGTGAGCACTCCTCCTTGGACCTCCGCAATGGTGTGCGGTCCTGCTCGCCCCAGGGAATATTTTTTCACACATTGACACAAACTGCGTTGCTCTCAAGTAACAGGGTAACCTGCACCCAGTGATGAGAATGGACAGCCCACATCAGTATATATTATTTCCAAGGGAAAATTGCTTTACCTTTTTGGTAGACAGTCCTGGCCAGGCAGGTAAGATTTTCTGCCTTTTCAAAGGTTTTTTTTTTCCAGTTGCTAAAAAACTATTTTTCAATGTAAATAAAAGATTCAGTTGGCTTGAAAAGAGACTGTAGTTACCACGAAAGCAAATTCACATTACAGTAACTTCTATATATTGTATGCTGATTCAGAAATGGGATACTGAAATTTAGTACAGGGGCAAAGACCAATTTTTAAATTTAGGATCAGTTGTTAAGGCCCAGACTGGGCCTTCAAATTTATGTGCTTAAATTAGAGGCATTCCAAGGCTGACTAGTAATCTGCACTTCAGTACCAAATCCAGTCAGTATCTGGGCATCTATATTAAGGACTGACATAAATATAAAGAAACAAGGAATTAAGTGCCCAAGTCAGAGAAATGAGCACGTTGCCTCCTAATTTGGTTGGGAAGTTGAATTTCTCTCAAGTACCAAGTAACACATAAAAGTTGAAGTACTGAAAAGGAAGATAAAAAGGGGTTTACTGAGACACTATTCATCCCCTCTCGAGAAGCAATGTATTTGTGACATTCATACCCAAAAGGGAGAGAACAGGTCTGAAGTGATTGACAATTAAAAGCTACTAGAATCACATTTGCAATTTAAATGAATGCAAGAGTGACAGCATCAAGATTTTTTTGTCGTCTTATTTTGGGGGGGGGAGTTGTTTTTCTTTTTTTAAAATGGGATCGTTAGAAGATGTGAAACAAGCATAGAAAGGACAACTATGCATAGAAATTAGCATGTCTCTCTTGCTTCTGCATACAGCAGCAAATGCTTTGGAGCAAGATGGATGGAACTAATGTGCAATTTAGCAGGGGGTTTGATGAATGAACGAACAGCACCCCATGAATGAGAGGCAGAACACATCAACCTTTACCCAGCCATGGGTGTCAATGGGCCTGTTCTTACTCCAAAGTACATAACCCCACTTTAATGCTAAATGGAAGTTAAGTACATGTATCAAGAGGGGAGCAGACCCCGATATCTAGGAATGAACATATGCCCCAAGTCCACAAACTTGCAATGCTGCCACTCTGCACATGGATAGCCTCATTGCACCCAAGGAAACTGCTGGTGTAAATGAAGTTACACAAGTGTGCTGGCAGCAGCAGGACTAGAGACCACAATATAGCAGTACTACTCCAAAAACCACTCCGAATTTCAGAGACCTCTCTGAAACACACCTTTAGCTTTCTTCCCACCAAAACAGCCTGCGTCATCCTTCTTCTTCTTCTGAGAGCCTCCTGTGCTCATGGGCTGATTTGCATCTTGCTCTTGGTACTTGTCAGCTCCTGGGACCTCTTTGTGGACGTGATATGAAAGGTTCCTCATGATGCACACACAGTTCTCTACAGACTGTAACAAGAAACTTAAATTAAAAAAAACAAAGGAAGAAAGAAACACCTGTCTATTTGCAACCTTATGTCACATGGGGGGAAATTATACATCAAAAAATAGTAAAGCCCCCTGAGACAAGATGTAGGGTTCAAAGACGACTTGATCAAACAAACCTTAATTTTCGTTCTCTCTTATTAAAACTTTTTTTTATTTAATACACTTCATAAATAAGTGCCTATGCAAGAGGTAGGCTCTGTGATCAAAGATACCAACTCACCATGCTTAAAACAGGTTCCCTTAAAGATCAAACTCACTGTAAAAATACAGTGGGCAGCTATCACACCATCATAAACACGCTTTTTAAAATGCAGACTTCACCTCCTCTCCCCCCCCACACCCGCCCCCTCACAAGACTCGTTTAACTGCAGTACCTCTGGCACAAACTTAGGACTTGCATTGATTTCAATGTGAGCGCAAGCACATCCCACAGTAACAGCTAATCCTTAACACGTCAGGTTCTAACAAGAACAATTCTCCATAGGTTGCAATGGAAACCATCAGGTGGTTTCAAAATCCACTTACAAAACGGTCTGTGTAAAAGGAGGGATCTGATTAAGTGACAAAGCTTCTGGGGTTGATTCTCTTGTGTAGGTCTCACACAGGCTGGGACTCATTAATTTATAGATATATAGATGTTTATGTATGTGTGTGTGTATAGCACTAAGCTAGCGTGTGCAGGTGCGTACATATGTGCATTTATGTAAGGCTAAACCACAGCATAAAACTAACAAAGCTTCGTATTAAAATTGGATTGCATTCTGCAATCTCTTGTGTAGATGATGAAGGCATAAGGGCTCCTTATTCACAAGTCACAATACGCTGACATGTTGTGGGAAGTGGTAAAACCAAATAGCCCTTTGAGAGCAAAAAGGACTCGAGCTGGCTTCACTGGGATTGATGTGCGTCTGCTTCTGGACAGGTTTTGATCTCAGTACAGCATGTACAGTACAGACTCATAAAAGACTAAGTTCTCTCAGGCAGGGCCTATCTCCTTGGCTGTATTTTGTATAGATTACAACACAATAGGATCAACAATTATAATTGAGGACTCTGGGTATAAATAGAAATCAACTGAGGAGAAGAAGGAGGAGGATTAAAAATAATTTCCATTTCAGCTCCCATTTCAGCTGTCTTTCCATTTGCTCTTTCCCCTTGCATAGTTCCCATGTCAGAAAGACAAGCAATAAAATAGTACCACAGTAGGCACCCAGCTTACAAAATGAGGCACCCTTTCAGCATCTCTTTAGACCAGGGATGTCAACTGTACAGCCTGTGGGTCAGATCAGCCTGCAAAGTCATATCTTCTGGTCCCTGGGGCTCCCAGAGGGGTCTGGAAGTCAAGAAGAGCAGTGGCATGCGTGCACCACCAAGACACAGGGCATGAAGCCAGGTTAAGGATGAATGTCAGCAGCAGGGGACAAATAACAGTTGCATGAACCCCCACAGTGGCCACCACCCCCTGTCCTGCCACCATGTTTGGAGGTGACTTGTGAAGATCCCCAAGATCCAGAACGAGGCTGGGAAGGTCAGGTGGGTTTGACCTATCTCAGTTCATACCTATATGTTAAGAGCAAAATGCCCTCAGTGTGCAGTGAGGTCAGCACTTGCATCTTAAGGAGCACACTCATCCAAATCAGAATACACAAGAATCACCTTGTTATCTGTATCCTTCTTGCCTACTGCAGACTGTAGAGCATGAAGGAGAGCATCCACCAAGCCATCACATTCCCTCAGTCTTCTGCGAGCTTCTGCTCCATCTGAACTTACATTCCTAACAAAGAACAAACACAATAGAAATATTTAGCCTGGAAACCTTTACCATACAGATCACATCTACACTGCTTTCTTTTACAAAGGTTAAACACGGTGCTGGATTAACTGTGGCGGGTTTTTGGCAACACAAAAGGTGATCAAGCAGGGAGAAGTTCTACAAACCTGGACCTCATCTATGTCCAGTGGCTCAGGCATGGGCCACACACCTGCAATTCATAAACTCTGAATGAAAACTGTATTAGATAATTAAAAGAAAGAGTCATTGCTCACTTCTCTGGACTTCTGATACAGCCCAACTTCACGGTACAGAGCAGGTTGACGGTTTTCCAGTGAAACAGCGTTTTGTATGAAAGTGCAAACTGATTAAAACTAGAGCCTTTTTGTGGAAATGGATGTTGCATTTTTAACAATGGTGTATTTTTGGTGAAAAGCAGAGGGAAAAAAGAAACTCCTAGTATATCAGAGCCAACAACAGAGAAAGCTGGACAAGGGCTTCCCACATTCCTGGGGCTGCTCTCGCCACCAGAATAACGGCTTGTCTGGGAAGCATCTCTCTTAACCTCTTCTGTTGGAGCTGTCCCACTGCGTACTGATTAAATATTTACTGGAGCAGACGTTTAGACCCAGGTGTACTATACACCAAAAAGAGTGCCCTAACCATGACTGGCTATTACGTATTTGTGAATAAATTTATTTTTCTGTCCAATATTTTACTTAGAAATGCTCATCCTAAGGTAGAGCAAGAAAATTTATGAAATACCAAAAACACCTGTGGAATGGGAAATCATATCCCACCCAACTCTACTCATAAGCTGCATTCATGACACTTGTTCCAGTTAATATCTATGCCAGGGCCACCCCAGCAGACCCTACATTTTGAAAATATATTTTTTTCTGTGAACTTTATTATCTTAAATACAGATCATTTGTGGAGGTTTTTCTTAGGATTTGTATTGATTTAAATGCAAGCACGAACAGGTCCTAAAGTAATAACTAATCCCCACCACATCTGGTTCTGACAAGAACAATTCGTCATAGGTTGCAATGGAAAACATCAGGTGGTCTGAAGAGTTAGTTATTTCCACACCAAAGACTGGCAGTACATTCCCAATGAATCCCTTGGTATTACAAAATAAGTGAGCAAGCCTCATCATATATATCCATGTTTTTAATTTAATGAGACAACAAAAAGTAGGGGAACAACACACAGAACTGAATTTTATTTCACCAGTATCTGTATGAAGATGATGTTTTTGCTTTCACTTGCATTCAGTTGCTCCAACAGAAACCAGTGTTGAAGATATAGCACACAAACATCTACCCAAGTGCTAGGCATCTCCCAATGCCTTCCCAAATTTGTCCTCTCTCTCTCTTGTCCCCTGTATCATGACTCGGTATTATTATTACCCAGTACAGATATCCACGTTGATGTTCAGACCCCACTGCCCTCTGCACTACATAGCCTGTGGTTCCATTATACCAATTCAATCCGATGGCATCCACAAAGAACCCATACTCCCAGCTTGCTGACCTGAGGTGGACCCCAAATTGCTTGTATAATGATACTTTTATGTCAGCAATGCTTACGATTTCCAGGACTGCAAATCAACAAGCTCATAATGACACATCATCCCAACTGCCTGCGGGAGGGCTTCATCTGACTGCTTATTGGTTCTGGGAGAACTTCCAGTCTGGTAAAAACCCAATATCCTTGCTACACTACGGGCAGTTCATCCAGGACCCTAATTACCAAGCCCATCTGTGCCCTAGAGAGCTCAAGAGACACTGAGGAAGTTTGTAAGCCACCTAACACAAAGCATATTACAGATGACCCAGAGCTGTCACTAAATGCTGCATCTTAGAGATGTAGGCCAGCAGTCACTTCTGAGATCCACAACTATTCTGCCCTCTCTCCACTCAAATTTACTTCATGCACACTAACTCCTGTACCAGCACAGCAGAGTAATAGGTAGCCTGACCACGTGCGTTCCTCATCTATCTGGCATGGTACTGCATCCCTTGTACACGCTACCCCCATGGGGCCTAACACTCCTAGGTAAGGCAGCCGGACTGCTTGTATTGTTCGCTGCTGCAGACTACGGTGTTTAGTGGTTGACTAAACTTTCATTGTGATCAATCCCCTTGTTTGTGCAAGTACCTCGACAGCAATAGCGAGGAAGTGCACAACACAGATATTTATTGCAGCATCACGTTACCAATGCATGTGTGAGGTTCTCCTACAGGTACAATGATAAAGAGCAGCAATCTGTTCAGACCAGCTCCTTTCTCAATTTTGTTCTCTTCTAATACATAGGGATGCAGATGTTCCTACTACCTTAATTCTCCCAGGCCCAGAGGAAGCACATTCTGGCTACTTAAAGAGAGTGCCCGTGAAGGGGAACAGTCATCTTTCAGAGTACTCCCCTTTCTCATATATATTGTGCAGAGCCCAGCAGATGTCTAAATACAGATGGGCAAGGATACATTCAAAGAAGCTCTTTCTTCACTTGAAAAGCCCTCATCTCTAGAAGTCACATTTTATAGAAAAATGGGTTTGTGGTCCTAGGCCTGAACTAGTGGTCCGTACATGGATGCAACTCAGCTCTGCAAGTCTGCATAACACATCTCATTTCTTCTATCTGGTTTATATGGTCTTCTCAAGAAAGTATGTCGTGGGCTTCTCAAGCCAATGAGTCACTGCCAAAAGTCCGCTCCATCCTACATCCTGTACCTGCACATAGCTTCTGTGTCTGAAATGACAGTTGTTTTAATGGCAGGACTTTGCAAGGTCTACTCCTGTGCAGAGTCAGATCCTTAGCTTCCCACTAGAACACAGTAATGTGGCTGATGTGACTGCAGAGCCACGGACATCATCTTTGAAAACTCATGGCAATTGGGAGAGGTCCTGGATGATTGAAAAAAGGCAGATATAGTGCTCCTAAAGAAAGCAAAAAAGGAGGATTCAGACAACTACACACTGGTTAGATTCATCTCAGTCCCTGGAAAAATCATGGAGCAGATCTTCAAGGGATCCATTTCTAAGCAGTTGGAGGAGAAGAAGGTGATAAGGAACAGTCAGCATGAGTCCACCATGGGAAAGTCACGCCTGACTAACCTGATTGATGCAATGATTGGCTTTGTAGATGTGGGGAGTCGAGCGGATGTGGTATAACTTGACTTTTGCAAGGCTTTTGATACGGTCTCCCACAATATTCTCGCAGGCAAGGTAAGGAAGTATGGGCTGGATGAATGGACTATAAGGTGGATAGAAAACTGGCTGGAGCCTCAGGCTCAGAGAGTAGTAATCAATGGCTAGATGTCTACTTGGAAGCTGGTATCAACTAAAGTGCCCCCGGGGTTGGTCCTGGGGCTGGTTTTGTTCAATATCTTCAACAATGACCTGGAAGATGGTACAGAGTGCACCCTCAGCAAGATTGCAGATGACACCAAGTGAGAGGCGTAGTAGATATGCTGGAGGGTAGGGCTAGGAGTCAGAGTAACCCAGAAAAATTGGGAGGATTGGGCCAAAAGAAATCCCATGAGGTTCACCAAGGACAAGTGGAAAGTCCTGCACTTAGGACAGAACAATCCCATGCACCAGTACAGGCTGGGGGCTGACTGGCTGGGCAGCAGCTCTACAGAAAAGGACCTGGGGGTTACAGCGGACAATAAGCTGAATAGGAGCCAACAGTGTGCCCTTGTTGCCAAGAAGGCTAATGGCATACTGGGCTGCATTGGTAGGTGTTTTGTGAGTAGATCCAGGGAAGTGATTATTTCCCTCTATTGAGCCCTGGTGAGGCCACATCTGGAGTACTGTGTTCAGGTATGGGCCCCCTGCTACAGAAACGATGTGGACACATTGGAGAGAGCCCAGCAAAGGGTAATGAAAATGGTGAGGGGGCTGGGGGACGTGGTTTATGAGGAGAGGCTGAGGGAACTGGGCTGATTTAGTCTAGAGAAGAGAAGACTGAGAGGGTATTTAATGGCAGCCTTCAACTACCTGAAGGGGAGTTCAAAAGAGGATTGAGCTGAGGCTGGGGCAGGGGCACAGCAACCATTGACAGGACTGGCAGAGTAGGCAGAGCATAGGCAACTGGTAGGGGGTGCACAGGGGTGCACGTGCCCCCCCGACAGGGCCAGTGCCCCGCTGACGGCCAACACTGATTCTGTCGGTAAGGCTGGTACCCCCCCTGACAGGGTCGGCATCTTCTGTGGGTGCCCCCCCAGATTCAGGGGGCACCAGTCACTCATGGGGCGGAGGATGGGGCCTGTTTGACTCGGAGATTTGACCAATTTGGTGGTTGCCGAATCTCTGAATCAGATTCGACCAAATTGATTCAGGACAGTGATTCAAATCACTGAATCAAATCACTGTCCCCCAAATTGGCTGAATCTGAAGTGAATACTAACCACTTTGCACAGGCCTACAAGCAGCCCCTCGCAGGCTGGAACTCTGCCAGCCTGCAAGGAAAAAGCCACAGTTTCCCATGTTTTCTCCTTTAAAGGCAAATCAATTTTTAAAGTGTATTGATTCATTTGTTCACAACTCTTTCATATATTTTTGCAACCCACTTGTGAGTCACAACCCACAGTTTGAGAAATGCTGGACTAGATGACCTCCTGAGGTCCTTTCCAACCCTAATTTTCTATAATTCTATGATTCTAATACAGCAAAGGCAAGAGAAAATGGTGTACGGTGGCTCAGCAAACATCACTTCCACTATTAGTGCCCACAGCTGGCAGAAAAGTTTTCCTAAAATGCCTCAAGATAGTTTGTAAAGAGTAGCTTTGTATGGCAGGATTTACCCTTTAGGCTGGCTGCTCTCACTTGATCTAGGCTAGCTCCAGAGTAGACAAAATAAGCCCTTAGAGTGTCAGCTCCTGCAGACATGGATCGAGAGCACAACCTTTCAAATAAATAATATTCATCTTTCAAGCACTGCAAGTGATTTTCTCCCCTTTGCTTCCACTAAAATTAAAGGGAACAAAATGGAAAAT